GACGACAACTCCCATGATTCCACACTCAGTCACAGCGTCATCAAACTATGCCTTTGTCTCTTTGTTTATTTGGAATAAGCGCCCTCTAGCGGTGAAAATTACATATTGTGCCTTTGCTTTAAACCAGGGGCAAGTTCAAGCTCAAACCGGTGTGCACCTTTGTCTTTTCATCCTGAAATGCGAGGCAAATGTTGGATCACAATAATTAGGAACCACAGTTTACACAAATCCCTTCATTTGATTGGGATGTTCTCTTTTATTCTGGAGGGCAAGGGCAATAACTGTACCATCGAGAGTATTTTGCAGTATTAAACACATATTTATACCGATTTCATCAGGCTCCGAAAATTCTTCAAAAAGAACACAAAGAATGGCCTTCTCAGCTGCCATAGTTGCAACTCTTGCGTCATCAGAACAGGGTGTTCAACGCATCACCGTTTCCGTTTAAAAAACGTTTTGCACCATTTTTGTCGGGGCTGAACGCAGCCCTGGTTTTCCCAAACTGGGCTTAATGTAAGAACTGCAGTGGGGTTGCGAGTTGATAAAAAGCTAATAAGTAATTAAATCATACATTTATTTACATGGCCATTCTATATTGTGAATATAATTAAAGCTAAATGGTATGACACACAGTATTTTTAGAAATGAAAATTTAAAAGAGAAAAAGAGGAATTAGGGAGAATCAATAAATTAGGAACGATTTACTGCCATTGTATGAATAATATGTAATTATGTAATCCATAAAAAAGTAACTAATCTGATTATGAGCATTATAAAATGTAATATACTCTAATTACAAGTACTACTTGATTTTTGGAGTCTGATTACATAATCCAGATTACATGCAGTTACCACCCAGCTCTGACTACTACTAATAAACCGTTGTTTTTGTTGTTGTTATTATTTTATTATTATACATAAATCGACAATTTCTAATTGCTTGTTTCTGAGGCGACTTGGAGTCTGTGATTTTTACTTAATTGTGGTTTCAGTTGGTTCTAAATTTGACCATGAATTTACAATAAACTTTAGCGCAAATGAATGAATCGTGATTTCTGTGTAAAACACATGTCTACAAATGGCTAACTTAACGTTTTGTCATGTTAAACTGGGACAGGAGAATTAAAAGATTAGGTATTTTAATATTGCTACAGGTTCAAGATTAAGTACATTGTGAATGCATTTTCTTGCAGTTATCATATATGGTTTCAACCCTCAAATGTCTTTACACATTTAACTTTTAAATGTGATTTCACAATAACACAATCATTTCCAAAGCCATCTCCCTTATGACTCTACAAAAGCATGTCAAATTAACAATTCAGCATGTAACATCTTCTCTACTGTTCCCTGGCTACAGAGAAAGGACTCAAAAAATAATGAAGAGAAATCGGAGAGATTGGACTTGGCATCTCACTCCCTGGGAGCTCCAGGGGAGGTGGTCCAGCCCCGGGCGGTCCCAGCCATTTCAGGGTGAAGGATCGCAGGGGGAAAGGAGACCTGGCAAGCCCACTTCCTCTTGGCCTGCAAGAGGCCCTAATTAGCACCACTTTCCCACTCCATTCAGAACATACAGCTCTTCTGCATGCCCATTATCAGTGCTGGAGTCCTGTAAGTTAAAGTAGAGATATCTCATTAAAATATGCAATAAAAATATAACAAAAGTACTATTTTTTGAACTTTCATATGCTCCATCCCAGTGTATATTTAAGAAAATATAGGCCTAATGTCCTAGAGCAGACACGCTGCTCTGCAATCTACACTGCTCACATCTAATAGGTAAGTTGAGGACAGAGAAAGAAATATCAATACCAGATGATGGGAAAGCAAAAGAGGGAGGGAGATACAAAGAACAAGAGCGAAGGAATGATGTGAAAGAGCATGATATGACAGTTAGGCAACAAAATAACTAAAGAAAAATGTCCTCAAAGGAAGTTGTTTGCTTTAATGATGACTATGTGCACAGGGTTTGACACACAAGCTGAACAGGAGCAGGTGTCCGTATCCTGTCTACTAACATCCATCATTTCCTTATCTCTCCTCAGCAATCTGTTTTGTGTCAGCATGTCTGCAGGACCTCCGGACCCTCTGTGGTTTTCCCATCACCTGGTCCTAATTGGCTCAGATATATGTGTAGGGACTTACTGGACAGACATCTGTGAACACAAGCATGCAATGACAAGGAAGTACTGCCTTAATTACTGTTTGTAT